CACTATGTTAATATATACCACATCTTCTTAATATACCCCTTTGTTATTGGGCACTTAGATTGTTTCCATAACTTGACTATTGTAAATAGTTCTGCAATGAACATAGCAGTGCATGTATCCCTTTGAATTAGTGTTTTTGCATTCTTTTTTTTTTTTTTAAAGATTTGTTTTTGTTTATATAAGAACGGGGGTACAGGCCAGAGTCACAAAAGGGTAAGCGAATTCACCAGAGACAGAGCAGGGAGCAGAACAGGCAGATGGACCAAAAACACTGCTGATGGGAACAGCAGGCAAGACAGGAGAGATCTGTCGTGCCATGTGGGTATCTCCCTGGCTGGCCGGGAATCGAACCCACACTGCAGAGGCTGCGAACAGCTTGACAGTGTGGTGCTCAACCGCCTATTTGTTTTTTAAAAAGACTTGGGAATTCTTTTTTCATTGTCTGTGAATGGGCCAAACCAAAAATTTGAGCAGCAAAACACCGGCTGCCCAGTCACCTCCTCACCCCCCTTGAAGTGGGGAGTCATAAATGCTGGGACTGTGAATAAGTTGAAAATGCCCAAGTGTAGCTCTTTGGACTTTGTAAAAGAAGGAAAGTAAGAAAATGTGCTGACTTCACTCACCTTATCATTCCCTAAGAAAATTAATCTAAGAAAACTCTTCCCCTTAACACATTCTGTTGCAACAAGAGGGAAACCTGAATTCCAGAAAAAAATGCTTACTTAATACCTTTCATTTCATCCCATCACTTGTTCCTCACTTCTTGCTTTCCTTTTGCTCTTTGTTACTTTTTAAGCCCCCAAAGAGGGTTCCCTAGTTACTTTTAATGAATGTGGCCTGTACTTTTCAGTACTCAAGAAACACATAAACTGTTTTCTAACTCAAATCACTTGAAAATGTATTTAAAGTGTGTAGCTAAATATGCAGATTATGTTAATTTGGGAGGGGTAGCCAGCCACATTAACCACTTAGAAAGTGAACTAATTGGAATGTTTATCAAGATGGTTCAAAGGGAAATTGAATGGAATGTGGTTTAATCCAGTAATTGAAGGTCCATTCTAACTACCTCACTCTGGGATTTCTCCCAACAGTATTTGGTTTTTCTTAGACATAAAAACATCTTGCTTTTCCTGATTTCAGTTAGCTTACAGTGTAATTAAATTGATAGGCATGGCATTCTGTGACTTCAGTTTAGAAATTATTTCTAAAGAACTAATGCATGAAGAAATTGTAAGCCCAGGGTCATTATTTATGTGCATTTATCCATGTGGATATATATGAAATAATGTTAGATAGGGATTTGCCAAAACCAAAATATCTATGTTATTGCCATTCTCAGTTTCAGCATTTTAGATTTGTACTACTACTTGGCCCTATTTGATAAATATTCTTCCCACAGATCACTGTTTTGAGAGACTCTAATACCACATGTCTAAGGATATTAAATACCTAATTGTCTGACATACGTGGCATGAGTGCCTAAATCTCTCATTTTTTTAAAAAGCCAACTAATTGGCTGACTGCTAAAGTTTGGACATTATTCAAAGTCGGCAAACAGGAAATAATTAAAACATGGGGTTTATACTAGTAACCAAGTAGGAAATTGAATGAATTCCAAGTTGTTACAGTGTGTCTTTGGCTTAATTTCATGACACACCCATTTTCATTCACAGTACATATGCTTATTTTTTTAATTAAAAGTGAAATCATGTGCTCAACTTAAAATTTAGGCATAAAGTTACAACTCAGTCAGTATCATTGGACATGCCTAAGAGTGACACAGAGCCAGGAAGCGTAAGTACCCTCTATAAATAGATACCTGGGGACTTGTCATAATAGTACAAAATCCATTTTATGCAACTATGTAGAAATGGTGAATTTTTCAACTGTTTTTGCATTCTGATGTGCAAATTTTGTCAAAAAGTTTATTTTCTCAATTTCATTTGGAGGGATTGTCCTTGGTCATTTCCCCTTAATATTACCTTTAAAATCAGTGCATTAGGGCCTCCCCTGGTGGCGCAGCGGTGGAGCGCTGGGCTGCAAAGCTGCCGGCAGCCTCTGCAGCGCCGGTTCCATCCCCGGCCACCCGCGAGGGTCCCACATGGCGCGACAGACCTCTCCTGCCGCCCGCTGCTCCCCTCAGCAGTGTATTTCGTCAGTCTGTCTGTTCTGTTCCCTGCTCTGGCTCTGATGAATTCTCTCACCCTCCCACGCTTCTGACTGTACCCAGTGCTTGTGTAAATAAATAAATAAATCTTAAAAAAATAATAAAATAAAATAAAATCAGTGCATTAAATCGACTTTTAAAAATTTACTGATTTAATTAATTGGAAAGCAATACTTTCAGAATTTCTCTTTGGCAAGATCATACTACTAAACCCTAGCTATGCAAGTGTATTTTGTGAAAGGGGGTAAAGAAGTATCAGAATTTCTGTTTTCAAATTATGTTGCCCTTCTTAGTACTGTGCATAGATCGCTATCCTGTTGAAAGCTGCTGATTGAGTAACTCTAATAGTGAATCTGTGTCTTTTTATTTATATTGCAGTTCTTGTATTTTCTTTTTTGAAACACTTAAAACTGGTCAAAATTTCAGGGACATAGCCAAAGAATTTCTGCTTTTCTTTTTCATTAACAAATTTTTGCCAGTGTAGCCTGAAAAAAAAAGTTTTTTTATGATTAAAAGCTTGTATCAAGCTGCCAGTATTTTAGTAATCACTTATTAAGTGCCACTAGGCATAGTGAATTGTGAATGGACTTTGACCGAAAGATACATGTAGGGTTACTATAATCAAAAGCATGACATGGAGCTTACAAAGTCCACAAGATCTGATTGAGGACTGCTGGAAATGCAGACTAGCCATGGCATGAATTTTCTTCCCTGATCTATTCATCACAAGATATTCTAATAAGTTAAATCAAAGGGAAGACATAAACAGCAAAAAAAAAATCACAGGAATTTACACATCACCAGCCATGTGGGACCTACATAGACTGTCCCTTCTGAACCTGCTCTCTTCTGTGACATCAAGCAACTGAGAGGGGGTTGTGAGGATGTGAGATGAAGTAGAGCACCTGGTAGTACCTGGCTGGTGATACGTATGTAAAGAAAAGGTGTAAAGAAAATTTTTATTGTGATTGCCTCTGCTATAAAGAAATCGGGCACACCTGCACAAAGCATTGGCCAAAATTCATGAAGAGTTGTCATCAGAGCCCTGCACCATCTAAATATCACTCCAGAGCACTTCTAAATGCTAAGAAAATCAACCATATTGCTAGTTAAATGTTACTGAAGTCCCCTAGATCAAGTGTGTTCATTTTTGTTCTGTTTTGTTACAAACTTAAAGATATGTTCTGGGCAAGGAAATATTTAGCCAGTGCCCATTTTACAACACATGGAAACAATTTTCCTATAACAAAATCTTTACAGGTGTATTGTTGCAGCTTTTAGCACAGTGTTGGCCAGAATTAGCACTTTTTAGCACTGAATCCTTGATAAAGAAACATCCAGTGCTAACATTTTTATGATTTAAGTATTTCCTAGAAATAATTTGAATGCAATGTTCACCTTGTAACCGTAAGTTCCACTTATCAGGTTGGCTGATAGTTGTTATCTCCAGTAATAGCGCTGCTCCCGGTGGTTATTTCCCAAGTATTGTCGCCTCTCACTCTTCAGCTTTACTAGCAACTGCAGGCCCTGCCCTCAGTCCATGCATGTTACAGATGATAATAAAACTGATCCATTACTTACCCCTCACTTGGAGAGAATTAGCATAATTACTAACAGTAAATTCTTTGGCGACAGAGACCTTAGAAGAACCAAGCAGTATTGAAACTGATACTAAATTATAAGAGAATGAAAACAGTATGTAGAATATTTTGTGTGCCGTTTTCGAATCAGAATGTTAAGACCTTTTCAACTTCCAGACTCTGTGTGTGTGTGTGTTTTATATTTTAACTTTGTAATGTGATTTTGTTGATTGTCAAACCAATAGTTTAATATTACCAGTTGAAGCAGCCTTTCTCTTTTCATCATTGATAACTATGAAAAACATAAAGAACATTGAAGCCTCCTCAGTAGTGGTATACACACCAGGTGATGTACAAGATTAACCATAAAAGTACACATAGAAATATTACAGCTTCTTTTTAACTTCATAAATTATTTTCTGCATTTATCTGTTAATTATGCACATAATTAGTATAGATATGTATTTTTTCATATACTGGGGTCATTTACCAGAGAAAATCTTATCATGGTATATAATCAAAGCCTTCCAAGACCATCCAGTGAACATAAGGGAGATAAACTCATTCTGTGCCTTGGGGTTGTTTATCAGAAGGAAAAAAAAACAGGTTACAGAAAGGAAAAATATTTTATTATAGTATGTATTTTGCATGTTAAAAATTAAATCATTTTTATAATAATGTTATGGCTTCTGTGTTGTTTGAGAAGCTTAAATTATTTTTATAATTTTGTTTGTTTCCATTTGTGTTATACACACCAGTTAGTACTTAGAGTAACTACAGAAGACAAAGTGCATGGGTGTTGCTTACTGGTGTATTTTCATAGCTAGGGCCTCATTCCTGAAGTGGTTCACACTTAATAAGAATATTTTGTTGGCTGTTTCTTAGTTTCATCATCATGTTAATAAGCTGCAATTAACTTTATTGAGATAATTGAGTATGTAATCATTTTAAGAGTTTATGTGTAATATATGAATACTTGAATTGGGCTAGTAGAATAAAGTAGTAAAAAGCTTCCTCTTCAAGTGAGGTATATTACTTTTCCCTTAGGTTAATCTAGAGAAAACCTCTCTTAATAGCCTCCCTTGAAGAAGTAATTGGCCTTGGCAAAGTCCAAGGTAGTGTTTTACTAAAATAGTATTTCATGTGAGATTAGCACTTATGTCTTAAAATTCGTGACAGGTGAGCAGAGTTTTAGTAAAATTATTATGATAGTAACAGAAATTATAGTAATTCAAAATGTATTTTCCTTTTAGTTCGCAGGAAGATGAAAGACCTTTGTCACCTTTCTATTTGAGGTATTTATTTGATTTTTCTTGATCTATTACTGGGAATGCAGGAGGATTAAGACTTCTTTGGGGGTTTTATGCTTATTTCCATTTTTTCAATCAAATATTCTATCTACATTGTGGCTAGAGTAAGCTTATTAGAATCCCTCAATACATTTTCCATGCCTTATTTTCCCCCACTTTGGTTTAAGAATCTTAAAACAATTTTTAGTAGTTGAAGGGACTAAACTTAAGATATTAGTTTTAAATTCAGAATTATTATCAAGATAACCATTTTTTTTCAAGACAACCATTCTCATTTCTAATACTGTCTAATGGTTACATTATAACCTAAATTTAAAAATCTGGATTCTGCACATTTATGCAGAGGAAAGAAAGGGTGAGAACAAAAGGTACTCACTTGTCAAGAAACCTGAGATTATGTTAAATCATGATCTTTGCAGTAGGGTGCTATAAAACTATTAATCTGCAAATTTTTGAAGATTAAAATTATTTTCCAAAGTGTATAAAGCCAGAAAAACAACAGGTAAGGTTAGTATACAGAATTCAGTGTAGACGTTAGATGAGATCACTTCTCTCTAGTGACTAAAATGTTGCTGTTCTTATGTGATTTTTAAGTGAGGTCTCCAACTTAGAAATAACCTCAAAACAAAGTTTTCTTACTTAATTGCATTTCTTTTCTCACTACTCACTTCAAGGCTTCTAGAAAATATATTTGAAAATAATATAACCATGTAAATAAAAGTAAAAATGACAAATTTCTTTTTATCTTTCCTCAATTTTGAGGAATTTCCTCTTTCAAAAAAGAAATGTCAAGATATGTAATATATAATTTATCTTTAATATGATTTGTTGTGGTAGACCCAAGATTTAGATTTTTATTCAACTACCAAGATTTCAAAAATGTATCACAGCACTTCAGGCTTAACCAAGTAACTACTCTTGGGTCGTGTTCTGCCCGATAGTGACTTGGAGTTTATTGCGTAATCTTTGTGGCAAGAGAGGGAACATTGAGGTTTCAGTTTGAGACAACATGGTGGTCCATTTGATTCATCCTGGTTTTCTGCCAACTCAATCAGCATATTCTGGCTTGCAGGCTATCTCAACAGTGCAATTACTATAACCACATGAGGGTAGTGTTGCTGAGTATATGGTGACATTATGTAAATATACAGTCAGAAAAAAACAACTAATTATCATATATTAGTGGAAATTCAGTCTTATGCAGTACAAAGGATTAGAGCTCAGGATCATGCCAATTTTTGAGAACTATTCCTCTGAATGTCTTATTTTTATTCCTCTGGATAATGTCGATTGTGTTTTACATAGTATTGAAATTTTATTTCAGTTTGACTACTATTTTAAAAAGCAGTCAGGGAAAATTGGTTCTTAAGTCTTAAGTCCTCAAAGACACATAATTGAGTTTTATATTGTAAAAATTGCTATAACTACATAAATTATAATACTTAGCTAATAATGTAATCTTTACCTGTACTTACAAAAGTTTAAAGGAAAAAGAAAACCTACATTTACTTAATTCTCAATAGAAGCTATTTGACCTATCAGTGTTAAAAGTCTTAAGAGGCCTCCCTGGTGGTGCAGGGGTTAAGTATTAGCGCTATCACTCAATCCTGGCCAGGGAGCTAACCCATGTATGTCACAGCAGACCTCTCCTGTCCCATCCACTGCTCCCCTCAGCAATCTATTTCAGTAGTTACACCTGTTCTGCTCCCCACTCTGGCTCGGGTGAATCCTCTCAACACCTGCACCTCTGGCCTACACCCCAGTTTGTCTATGAATAAATAATATATTTTTTAAAAGTCTTAAAAACTAAAATAGGAAAAAGAAAAGAGTGAACATGCATACTAGCCCACATTTATAGTAGATGTAAAGTTGCAGAAAATGTAAGTTACCAGCGGGCATTCTCTTCATGTGATGGAAATTTAAATTAAGTGGAGCTATTTCATAAGTGCATTTAGCTTGAATGTTTACCCTGAAATTAAAATTTCAAATGTGGTTTCTTTTTCTGAAGAACACTGTATGATGTAATACATGAACCAATTTTTTTAAACCATTTATATGACTCGTCTGAGGTAAACTATTATGTCATTCTCAGTCTGGAATTCAGGTAAAAGAATGACATGCTCTACTGCATGTGTTCTACTATACATTTCAATTCCTTCCATCCTTTCTGTGGGAAGGTAGGACTGTTAAAAATAGACATAAATTCCCATTTTACATTAACCATCTTCTGTGGTAAAAACACTGTCTTCTCTAATGTCAGTACTTCTCCAACCTAACTTAATTTGCCACAGAGCTTTTTTGCAAAGGGAAGAAATAGCAACTACAAACCTACACCTGCCACCATCCCATGTGGCAAATTTATTGCAGCTACAGTGGCTAAAACGGTGAGTGTCATGGTCCCCAGATGCTCATTAGAGACCGCCCGTCCTGTTGAAGTGATTAAGGAAATGAAAGGGAAGGACAGGTTGTGCCAAGCCCTTAGTGAGAGTGCCACCAAATAAACATGAACCTCAGACTTAAGGTGAAGAACTTTCTTGGTCATATTTGGGCCCTTTTCCTGCTGGAATCCCTGAGAAGGAGCCTGTAGGGTAAATGAAGATTTCTCAGGTTTTTGCGCATTGGCCTCTGTGACTATCACGTGAGGCCTTAAATGCTGGAGGCACTTGGGGCTGTGGGCTCAGGGTATGCAGGCCTGATGGTGGACACCTGAAGTATGGTGTGGACATGCATAATGGGCACACCTGAGCTGAGAGGCTGCGTATATAAGGGCGGCAGAGGATGGGGCAACAGAAGGAGGTTCAGCAGAGAAAGGCTGTGAAAGAGCACCAGAGAATACAGAGAGAGTAAAGATGAGCCGGGAGCTGGAAAGCCTACCATCCTCCTGGCTCCCCACCCCTCTGCCTGCCTTGCATCTGGTTGCCTCACTACAAGTGGCCTAGAAAAATCATTAAAAGCCTGAAAAAGCCACTGGGCTCCAGGACTCTCCTTTACCCGTCTGCCCGGATCCATAGAGAACCTGCCCTGTGTGTTGCTGGCAAAAGAGAGCCCCTACCTCAATTGCTCATAGAAGAATTGAACGAATTCCTGGTGTTCTATGCCAAGCTCAGCCTGTTGCCAAAGTTCTCTTGCCTGAAATCCAGTAGATCTAAGTGGGATCTGTTGCTTTTTTCTATTTGTCTGAGTCTTCAGTATCTGCAAGCCAAGGCTTTGATTTCTATGGTTATTTCCACCAGGACTGAGTTTCTTATGCTCCACTTTCTTTGGCATAAAATAATTCTAGTAATGAAATAAATGACAAGAAAACTGGAGACAATTTTATAACAGTACTGAAGAAAACCATGTCAGTGTTCACATTGTCAATGGGGATGGACCAAGAAACATATTTTGGCCTTGTAGACTTCACAGTCACCATCTAAATAACAGAGATGGCCATAAAAAAAAGGGAAAAGGGGGGGAAAACTCACTATCTACTGCACTACCAAGAAAAGCAAGTGACTTTCTCCCAACTCAATAGAAATTTATTTTTTTTAACTGTCTAGAACTGAGTTCATATTCTTTCTTCACCTCTTGATGAAGAGTTTCTTTATTTCAGTACCCATTCGGAGATTAGCACTTTCAAGAAACAGAATAATAAAGAAGAAACAGGATTCCCCCTAAAATTACTGAGACTGCTAAAAAGGGCATTTGAGAAAGGGATAGAGGGAGGAAGATTATTGAATTTAATGAATGCTATCAGAGTACACAAAACATAGAGAAACTACAAATTTGTTTCTTTTTCTCCAGTTTAGTTATAAAATTGTACCAAACAGCAAGTGCATATAAGTACAATTGTTTTAGGCGATCTCATATACTGGTTCTGAAAGTACAAATCCAAACAAGGTCATTTATCCACAGTCAAGGGACAATGATATAAATTAAGAGCACTCCATATACCCAGGTTTGGGGGAACAACTAAACCTTGATTGGGTAATCTTCCTTGAGAACCACTAAACTCAAACTATTTGGAACCCACCTATGAAGAAAAATTGCAAACTAAGGGAATGAATGACTTGTCTTGGAGACTCATTGTTTAAAAAAAAAAATCAGAGAATTCTTTTTTTATGTGATTCAGAATAAAATCTGAGAAATAATATTGTTAATCTTCTCAAAAATTACTCAAGTACATAACCATTCTCTGAAACATGTGTTAAGGAGATAATGGGGTTTGAATCAAAAGACAGAACAACTGAAATAAGGATGGAAAGAGGAGCTGAGAAATTTATTAAACAGAGTTTAAAATTAAATGGGAAACCACGGGCCTCCCCGGTGGCGCAGCGGTTGAGTGCTGGGTTGCGAGGCTGCGCGCGGCCTCTGCGGCGCCGGTTCGATCCCCGGCTGCTCCCCGGCCACCTGAGGAGGGTCCCACATGGCGCGCAGACCTCTCCTGCCGCCCGCTGCTCCCCTCAGCAGTGTACTTCGGTCCTTCTGCCTGCTCTGCTCCCTGCTCTGGCTCTGGTGAATTCTCTCACCCTCCCGCGCTTCTGACTGTACCCAGTGCATGTACAAACAAACCAGCAAACAAATAAATAAAGCATGCCTCTATTAAAAAAAAAAAAAAAAAAAAAATTAAATGGGAAACCAGTAAATATATATTATTAAATATAAAACAGTACATGAGAAGATAAAAACTCAAGAATTTCTTCCAAATTATTGAAGAAAAAGCTATGAGAGAAATAATGCTAGGTATGAATGTCAGATTTTGAACAGTCAACCTCAGAATTGTGATCCTAATGAAGAAACCATACTGACAGAAATAGAAGTAGAAAGAAATTATCATTAAAATGAAGACTGCCTGCTGAATAGGAGAAAATATTTGTACATCATACATCTGACAAGAAACTAATATCAAGATCTACAAAGAACTCATACAACTCAACAACATAATAATAATAAAATTGAATCAAAAATTGGGCAGAAGAACTAAATAGACACATCTCCAAAGATAT